AGGTTAGTCGCCCGCTAGAGACTCAGATTGAGAGGGTCTGAAGACCTTTAGTCGAGACTTCAGACTGTTTGAGAACCTTCCGCAGTATAACTATCATAGAAATTGAACTTGGTAATTACAATCCGGCTTAACTGCAGTCTAGGGGGAACCATATCCGGGTGACCTCTCTTAACCTGAAAACAACCGTTTAGTTGCTTTGCTTGCTTGTTAGTTTAGATCTCTACTAAAGTTTCATTTCTAGATAATACGAATTCACTGAGTAGTCATCACATCTAGGACCCGGGTTGACATTAAAACCCAAACCCGCTATACTACGCTTTAGGAAGTGGTTACACTTGGCCATTTTCTAGAGTGACAGTAGGAGTGAGTCAGTCATCTATACTTTTTACAAAAGTACCTTTTGACTAAATTTTTTGAAGAAGTGTGTTTTGAAAAATAATTTATTATTTGGTCGATAAGTTCAAGTTGTTTAAAATACCTAACCAAGTCGAGTGATCATGTCGCTGGTTTTCTATTTGTAGCCCACATGTTCAAATAACAGGGACGACGCTCATTTTCCCCTTCCCTTCACCCCTCTAGTAGCACATTGTAACAGGTTTTTGTAAAACAAAAGTGACAGGAAATGACTAAATGTGTAATAGATATAAACTATTCGAAAACTAAAAATTTGAAAATGATTAAAATGGTTCATGATGAAATCTTTTATTGTAACAAAATCCACATTTCTTTAGAACAAGATTCCCAAGGCGACGCCATTCTTTGAGAAATCCATGACGTACTTTGAATGCATTCAGGATTTAGGGTCTTTTTTGTGAGTCGAGATTGTAACATAGCTGCTCATAGTGAGCACGACGAGCTCTGTCCCTTTTTCCAGTAGGATGTTTAGATTTTGATTTTTTTGTGGGTTCGCTCTTTGTGAACCATCTCTGTACTTATCGTTTGATTTTCGTTGATTTCGAATATCTTTTGGAAAAAAATAAAAAGAAGAGAGAAAACATTCATTTTTAAATTTCAAAAATAATTTTTGAAAAACCATAGTTTGAGTCTCTACATCTAAGTTCTAACTGCTTCTGAGTTTTTTCAAACCCTATTTGGAGAACGATAAGCCTAATGTTGAAGGTATGGGTCTTGGGTTGTGTATGTAAAAGAGTATTACTGAAAGAAAAAGGGGAATTGGTGGGTTGGAGGAAGAAGAAAAAGCGTATGCATGTGGGGAAGGAAGAAGAAGAAGGAAAGGGGATGTTAGGAGGTGAGGGGTTCGCATTTCAACAGACTAATATTAATATTATCATGTTTATTGAAATCCTTAAACCAATACTCTTCTAATATAAAAACGTTCCTTCTAAGTTGAGGTATTATAAAAAATAAAAAAACAAGACTAAATTAAAAAAAATATATTGGAAATGTTCAAATAATCGTGCAACAATCTCCACCGCTTCAGAGCAACCTTGCCCTCAATGTTGCACTCCGCCATTCGCCTTGCACGCATAATCTTCCTCAGCTTCTTCTGCCTCACTCTCGAAGGTTCCTACCAGCCACATAAAATTGGCATTGGTACAACAATGGCCTATAGTGTCGCAATTGTAACATTTTACGTCTTGACGCTTTATGTCTAGCTCGTCCAGAATCCGATGAGAGAACCCTCTAAGAGTCAGTCGCGGCCCTACCCATCCCGGAGGTCCTTACCCATCACCCCAGCCACCACGCCTCCACCTTTTGGATTTTCCCCAACGGTTGTTGAGCCTCCGGCTCCCCTTCTTCCGGTCACGGCCGACACCTCTTGCGCTGCTTCCGCAACTTCCTATCTTGAACGGCATGCCGACATAACTCCTCTATCCCTCCAATTCTCCTTCCTTCCTCTTTGCTATTCGGAAGTTGAATCAAAGTGAATCTAGTTCGTACACTTTTGATCGTTGCAACAATTTGATCTTCCAGCCCACCAAACAAACTTCTACCACAGTTTCTTATGGAATGCCATAACAATTATTAACCAAACGTTCAAAATCAAACTGGAACTCACTTACAGTGTCTATTTGTTTTATCTTGATCAGCTGTTCATAAGTTGATCCATCTAACATGTTGAACTGTATGCCGAACTCTTCTTTGAATTGCGCTCAAGTAATTACTTGCTCCTCTGTTGCATATGCTCGGTCCATCCACTCCCACCACTAGTACACCGCTCATTCTAGATATAACGTGGCCATGTAAGCTTTTGTTGGAGGAAGCTCAGTCACTGGCTCAAATCAACCGAGGAAAGCAGGGTAACACTCAAAGCTTTATGGAAAGAATTCGAAAACAAGAAGACTTACCTTGTTATGCCAAGCTATAGAAGGCAAGTCTCTAAAAGAGACGTTGAAGAACGAGTATAAGATGGGATCAATTAGCAAGAGAACAGTAACCTTTTTCATTCATTCAAAAGCAGAGTGCTGGGTTAGTTACGATAGGCTTTTGAGAGAAAAAGAGAGCAAGGAATTGCTTGCAGGCTAGTTAGAGGTTTTTGGGAACAGGGGTTCGGATCAAACACCTTGATTAGTCTGAGGATTCAGCTGTAGGCTGGGTGTGTGTGCTGTAATATTGTAGAGTGAACTTCAACGAGAAAGATCGTTAGTGGAACGTTGAAGATCTCAAACCGAGATACTTCAACCGTGGATTAGTCGGTGCAGGGATCCTTATTCTCCCTGTGCCGGATACCACGTAAAAATTGCTGAGTGTCTTTTACTTTATGCTGATCTAATATTCTGAATCTAATCTGTTTATTCTAGTACTCTGTTTTGGTTTTGGTTGTTTTTACAGGAGGTCCATTCTCTGAAAGGAGAAGGAAGAAGACGAGTCCCCAGGCTTCAGTCAAAGTTGATTCAATAATTAAAACGCAGGACTGAAGGAGTTTTGGGCCTGCTTTGGTGGCTAAGTAACTGGGCTTATAATTCTGATCGAATAATCCAGGCCCCATTTGTTTTCACTTGCGTCGTATTCTTCAATTGGCTATTCCAGAACTGAAATTGACATTTTCTATTAGAATCTCACAATCTTCGATTTAGGGTTTCTAGTGCAAACAGATACAATCAAGAGGAGAAGCTCCTGGTCTCGCGCTCGACCTCATACCAACAGCTTTATGGTCCTTACTAGTTCCCTTATGTCGAAACCAATGATATGCTCATGAAAACCATGCCCCTGCATCTTCCAGTCATGAGAACCTAGTGAAATGATAACTTGTGGTTTGACTCGGAATACAACCTCATGTTTTCGCTATTCCTCCCAAATTCAAAGCCTCTCATGTAGGCTATGTTCCCCTGCTGATCCTCGTGTCTAGGGATGGCAATGGGTCGGGTTTTTCAAACCCAAAACGATGAGTTTATTCGTAAAAAAACCCGGGTAAAACCCACTGGTTAGAAAAACTCAAACCCAACCCAACCCAAAATAAGTGTGGGCGGGTATCCATGACTCGGGTACTCCTAAACCCAACCCCAACCCAACCCGGTGAATAGTGTACAAGTTTGAACCCGACCAGAAAACTATCAATGCGGGTTTTACCTGCATTGACCGGATTGGGTCGGTTAGGGTACCCGTGGGTTCGGGTTTTGTTGCCATCCCTACTCGTGTCTTCTCCGCTTGATCAACTCCTATCCATCCTCACCTTCAAAGTTCACTAGTTCCTCATCATACTGCCTCCACGCGGTGGTCCAACATTCTTAGGCGTGACAAGGGTGGGTAAGCGACCACTCCCCTCTCGGCCTTCTAGCATCATCTTGAGCCGCATGCGGTTCGGCTCACTCCCTCCGTTGTTGTGCATCAACACTGTTGGTCCAAACTAGGCGACCACTACATACTCCTCTTTGCCCGAAATAGCCGCCCGCCTAGCCCTTCCTTGCGTCACCTTAGTGACTCAATTCCCAGATCTTTGTTGCCTTTCACTATCGGCGGTCGGTTGGTCTAGGATTCGCCATCATTTCCCAATCCACCATCTGCACCATCTCATTTTGTGGCCTTTTCCCTTTGTTTCCCAGTTGTGCAATGGCGTCTCACTAGGCTGGTGAATAGGCTTTCCTCCTGTCTCTTCTCGTCATTGAGGACGCCAACGATGGTCGTTGCTCGCGACGCCTTGATGGTAATGGCCATGACTAGTGTTGATCCACCAAATCGGTCGCCTCCTGTCCTCACCTCTATTATTAGGTCCGCTAGCATCATCATGAGGTTGAGGAAGCCCGATTTCTTGGTTCCATCCATCGCCGTAGTCGCTCGACCCACAAGCTCGATATGAGCCTCTAGCTTTTTGCCAAGTTGTTGTAGATTTTCTTCTAACTCAGTCTACTTTGAGGCCACTTCTATTGTTGCTCCATCACCGCCTCTATGCCGATCTCTTCTTGTATGGATCCTCTTTCATGGTTGCACTTTTCTTCAACATTTGTCTTGTTTTTGCTAGCATACACCCACCCGAACGCGGCTATGAAACCAATTTGTTGAAGGTATGGATCTTGGGTTATTTATTTATTTTTTATTTTTTATTTTTTGAGTGATTGGGTTGTGTATGTTAAAGAGTATCAATTAAAGAAAAATGAATTTGGTGGGTTCGAGGAATAAGAAAGCCAAAGAAAAAAATCTACCTTACTTTAATTGCGGCTCATTTTCCTTTCAATATTCAATAGTTAATGGATGGCAATTTTCACAAAATTTTACTTGGACTTGTTCAAGCTCGTTGAAAAGATCTCTTACTGATATTTCTCAATTAATATTTTTTGCTTATTAAAAACAATTCCATTTACTTTCTGATGCACTCAGCGGTTGCTCATATTTCTACTTTCTGTTGTAATACCAAGTCCTCCATCAATATTTACTATTCAAAATACATATATATTTTTATGTATCAATTTGATATAAGTACTTAAGGCTAAGGTTAATGATATAACAACAACACATTTGGAAATCTTGATGGTATATATTGAAGTAGTATTATTCAAACAACATCTTCCTTTTAAGACTTTCTATTTCTTTTGCATGCTACATCTCGCTTCGTTTTCCACTCTTTCTGCACTTTCATATCTCAACTGGCATTCACTATTCCAATTCTTATTTTTCATTCGTTGTTGGTCTCAAGGTTCGCATCCAAGGTGTGGTTGATGTTCTCATACTATTCCAATTCCTCACGTGTGTTCTTATGTGCATAATTCTATTGAGTTTCTTTGCATAAAGTTTTTTTGTGTGTTAAAACTTCCCACTTAATGTTATTTTCTTAGCTCTCTTTCCTGTGATACCTTACTTCTATAGAGTTGTTTGATTCTTTGTTTCATAAAGAACCACTTTACAAATAATGAACACATTGTGATTTCATTTCTGATGACCTTTACTCTTTTCCACTTCTTATCGATTGTCGTTTCCATCAGTGTCTTTGTTATTTCTCTTGATTTGTGGCATCAACGTCCTTGTCATACCAACTTATGTCTTATCAAACATTTCTGGTACTATCATCAAATATATTTTATTTCTAATTGATCTTTCTTTTTCATCCTTGTGCCATGGATGTTGTGTTCGTAAATTACACAAACTTCCTTTTTCTCCTTCTACTTTTCAAGCTTATGCTCCTTTAGAACTTAAATGTGGTGAGGTTTGGAACACACCTTGATTTTATCTTCTGATCATCATTCTCATTACATTATTTTATATGATCATCACAACAAATTTAATTAGATATTTTTTATTCGATTCATGTTTCAATTGCTTGTTACTGATGATTTCTCTAATTTCTTTAGAAATTCTTTGGTTAACCTATTTAATCTTTTCGAGCCAATTCGAGGTAACATATATCTTCTCTCTTGCCTCTTATCTTCAAGATCATTGTATTTCTCATTGATCTCATGTTCTTATACGCCTGAGCTAAATGATTGCACCAAATGAAAATATCAACACATTGAGATGACGGCTTGTTATGCTTCACCAAGCTCTCATAACCATAAAGGTTAGACACTTTCCTTTGACATTGTTGCTATATTTCTAATCATACTCTTACCTCTCTTCTCAATAAAATGATACTTATTGTCAAAGGCAAGTGTTAATTATTTTTGGGGAAGCTTTTTGAACCATAAAAAGCCCATTGTTGATAATGTAGAGATGTTTTCATTCTGCGCAACCATTTGTTTCGAGAGCGGAAGGATATGAGCATCATTATATAATACCATGAGCACCCAGATAAGTGGGGAGAGAGATAATCACCATCACGATTGGCTCGAAAAGATTTTATAGGTAAGGAAATGAATTTCTCATGAAGTTGTTGAAATTGAATAAATATATTGAGCAACTGAGATTTTCTAACTGAACCAAAAATAAATCCAATTGAATTTGTTGTAATGATCATAGAAAAGAATGTAATGAGACTGATGATCATACGTTAGCCTTGGGGAAGGTCACAAATGTTACTACATATAAGTTCCAAAGGAGCAGAAGCTTGAAAAGTAGAATGACTGAAATGGAAGCCAAGTTGTGGATTTTACTCATAGAACATCCATGACACAAGGATGATGAAAAAGGGCAAGAGACAAAATTTTATTTGATATAAGTAAACAAGATATGTTTGACAACACGTAAGTTTGCATGACCAAGACGTTGATGCTACAAAGTAAGAGAAGCAACAAATGCATGTGGCATATTGCAACAAGCGGTATGAAATGAAAAGGGTTAAGGTTGTTCGAATTGAAATCATGGTAATCAATTAGTGAACATTATTCTGGCAGCTGAGACCAACTCTTATAATTTTTTTTCACATCAGATTATCAAAGCTTTTATAAGCATTCGTTTCATAGGGTTGTCGATTATATTGGTAGCTATTTTGATTGAAATCATAATTCTGAGGATAGTTGGACTAATATAGTTGACATTGGCCTTTTGAGTTTCACCTATTGTCTCACATTCTTGTCCCATATGATCTTCTTCACCACACCTGTTATAGACAAAGACTTATGTTGCGAGTGGATTTCTTATTATTTTTAATCGTGGAGTTTCCTTCTCAACTCCTCGATTTGTATGCTTATTGTTGTCGAGGGGTATTCCAATTCCTGTGCCATCTTGACAGTCATAGGAGCATACCTCCAAGACTAAATTCGAGATTTTGCATCCATGGATGTAAAGTATTATTGTAATTGTTATTCGTCTTTGATATTTTCACGTACAAGCAGTCGTAAGACAAATATTTAAATGAATATGGACCATAATTTAGCAAAGCGTGAGTCCCAAAAGCAAGAAGAGTCGTGGCAGCCATAGCAACCGGTCCTGACACCATCATCTAATGGAGCCCAAATTTGGACAAGAAGCACAAAGAGGAGCATGTGGATCAAGTTTGACCTCGAATAGATAAGGAGAAAGTCATGACCGTCTAGCCCATCGCCTACCCTGTCACACTACTAGGAGGTCCCTCTTCTCGTGCACGCCAAGTAATAAAGTCGTTGTCCAATTTGGAAGAGAAACCCCCTTGTACCACATCGGTCACACATGAAGATTCAAGGCTGGAGACTTAGTATAATATGTGGTATGAGTTTTTTTGCAAAGGAATCTGGAAATTGAATAAATAAAAAGTCTGCAACTTGTGGAGTACTACGATCCGAATAAAAGCCAAACCTTAACTATAGTTCTGTTTTTTTTTTTTTTTTTTTTTGCGTGAGATAAGAGTCGTCACTATGGAATATAGAGAGAGAGGTGTTCCATCAAATTTAAAGGAGTTAGAAAAGTCTGGAAGAGATGCTTTCTCAGATAAAAGTTGATACTGCATTTGTGCTATGAATTGAAGGAGTGCTTGAATTCTCAGTAACTTAAAGAAAACACCATATATGGTTGCTTGGTCTTGGATGTTAGTCTTTTCTGTTTTAGTTGTTGTTTGTATTCTATAGTTAGACATGTCACTTGATATTTCCTAAAATGACTTATACCGATTTGTAATCCACTCATAGAGAATAGTTTGTTTTCTATGTACCTTTTTATGATATAATATACCAACCAGATTATTAAAAAAAAGTATAGATATAGTTTCGAATAAGTCTACTTAGAAGCTAGGAAAAAAGAAAAAAATTATGTCAAAATAAAGTAATAGAGAAACATAGCATAAATGAATTGAAATTATATTAAAGAAAAAGTAAGGGTATCATTTTAAATAAGTAAGAAGATGTTGAATTCTATCGATAGAAGCGTGTTTAGGCCAATCCAAGATAATCTCGTTAAAAAAACAATGAATGAAATCTTCCATGCCCATTAGTAATGTTCTTTCACACTTGAGATTATTGTGTATCATGATGGCACATGATTGAACGATAATGATATATGATACGATTCCCGCCACTGAAGAACCCTGGTCGGAGGTGTTGAATTCCACGATCGGGGAATGAGGAGATGGACCGGGGATTAGAGGCAGAATACCCCTGTCAGGTGGGTAAAATATCTGACCGGGGTTTTGGACCGGATTTCGAGACCTGTCGATTTTGGTTACCTTTTTCGTTTAGGATTCTTTTTCTTTTTGGTGTTTTCATTAGGTTTATTTTCCATACTTATTTAAATGGTTATAAGCCACGAATTTTAGGAGATTAAGAAGATTATTCAGACTTTGATAATGGAAAAACCATTTTCGGTTCATTGAGTTTTTACTCGTGGATTTTGTCCTCGTTTGGTGGTGGATCTCCAGCATTCGAGTGAGCTTTGTATCAATCAGGTATTCCCCTTGATTGTGGTCGACTTGCTACCCCTATATTGTTCGAGCCTCTTCCCAATTTGTGTTGATTTTGAACGATAATTCCGCCCTATCCTTTACTTTTCGAGTGTTGAGAGAAGATATCAGAAAAACCCTAAAGAGATCGAAGCGCGACTTTCACAAAAGAAGATAAATTTTCACGAGCTCGGGTTCTTAATTATCAGGTGGTATCAGAGCCCCAGTTCAACAAAACGGAAAGAGAGTGGCCAGGAGAAGAAGATCACAAGCTTTCATCAAGCCATTATTGATCCAAAGTATGCGGCGGATATGAACGCGTTTGTCGAAGTTGAAAAGAGGCTAGTCGACACCTGTTTTTGGAAGGATATGCAGAAGACATTAGCTGCCCTAATTCAAGCAACGAACTCCATGACAATGAGGAGGAGCAACAAAGTTTGAGTAATGACGAGGAAGAGGAGGCAGATCTGGAAGCAGAGAAATCATCGATCAACTGTCCAGTGCAGAAGGAAGATGGAGATTTCTACGAGGTGGTCATGGTAGAAAAGGAGCAAATGATTTATCACAATCCTTTTTATGATGATCTTTCTTGCAGAATTCCACTAGCTTTGAGTATCGTCGCTGCCAAACAAGGTATGACGATTGGCAAGCTAGCAGACTAGGTTTGAGACTGATATGGAGAGGAGTAGGGATGTAACGTGCATTTTTCTGTGGATGATTTTCTTTTCTATCAATGGAAGTATAGGAAGAAGAGACAAGAAGACAATGAACCTTGCTGGAGGACTTTAGAAAATTTCGTTTGGAAGTCGGACTGGAAAGCTTTGATGGAAAAGCTTCTTCAATGGGGAGGGACTGATATGATTCCCGCCGCAGAAGACATTAGCTGCCCTAATTCAAGCAACGAACTCCATGACAATGAGGAGGAGCAACAAAGTTTGAGTAATGACGAGGAAGAGGAGGCAGATCTGGAAGCAGAGAAATCATCGATCAACTGTCCAGTGCAGAAGGAAGATGGAGATTTCTACGAGGTGGTCATGGTAGAAAAGGAGCAAATGATTTATCACAATCCTTTTTATGATGATCTTTCTTGCAGAATTCCACTAGCTTTGAGTATCGTCGCTGCCAAACAAGGTATGACGATTGGCAAGCTAGCAGACTAGGTTTGAGACTGATATGGAGAGGAGTAGGGATGTAACGTGCATTTTTCTGTGGATGATTTTCTTTTCTATCAATGGAAGTATAGGAAGAAGAGACAAGAAGACAATGAACCTTGCTGGAGGACTTTAGAAAATTTCGTTTGGAAGTCGGACTGGAAAGCTTTGATGGAAAAGCTTCTTCAATGGGGAGGGACTGATATGATTCCCGCCGCAGAAGAACCCCCGTCCAGATGTGTTAAATTCCCCGAACGGGGAATGAGGAGATGGACCGAGGATTGGAGGGAGAATATCGCCCGGTCAGGTGGGTAAAATACTCGATCGGGTTTTTGGACCGGGTGTGGGGCCTGGCAATTTTTGTTACCTTTTTCGTTTAAGATTCTTTACCTTTTTGGTGTTTTCATTAGGTTTAATTTTCATACCTATTTAAAGGGTTGTAAGCCACGAATTTTAGGAGATTAAGAAGATTATTCAGGCTTTGAAAAGGGGAAAACCCTTTTCAGTTCATTCAGTTTTTACTCGTGGATTTTGTCCTTGTTTGTTGGTAGATCTCCAGCATTCGTGCGAGCTCTGTATCAATCACGAATTCCCCTTGATCGTGGTCGAGTTGCTACCCCTATATTGTTCGACCTCCAACTGATTTGTGTTGAAGTTGCACGACAATTTCACCCTATCCTTTACTGGTCGAGTTGCTACCCCTAAAGTAATCGAAGCTGCACGACTTTGACAAAAGAACCTAAAATTTCACGAGTTTGGGTTCTTATTAATATATCTTAGTAATTCCATGGTATAGAAACATGCCACATAAATACGTGATTGTGAACATAATTTTTACTTAGCAAGTCAACATTGTACCTTTATAATTCGATTTCTTATTTATGAAGTATGCACACAAAAAGTTGTTATTGTTTTAATAAATCACCATATAAATGTATGATTACACATAATTATAGTAGTACAGATTATACGTTGCATTATTGGTATTTTGATATACAAAAAAACTATTATTCTTTGACATCTCATTTTGCAATTTGAAATGAATATAACAAGAAAAATAAAATAAAATTTTGGATTTTGATAATAACTGAATTTCAACTTTTTTTTTCATCAAGTGAAAACATTATTCTATATATTATTAAGTCAAATCAAACAAAATCTACTTTCAACTATTAATTGTTTTAGGTTATGGACAAAAAAATAGAATATACATTCATAACATTTTTCTAGTGTAATAAAAATTGAAGTTAGAGCTAACATTTTCAAAATTGATCCGGATGTCAACCCATAAAATAAAAAGATCATGGTTAAAATTAGGTGGTAAACTCGTTTCACTAGACATTAGTACTAATTTTTTTTTTTTATTATCCAGGAACCTCAACCCCACATGCCACTTTGTGGCAGCGTTGTCTACTAAACCTGGGGAGTACCTGCATCAGCAACATTTCAAGGCCTAGCATCCGATACTAGGAGGAGACTTCCTCTCCAGCACTCTCGGTGCCTCCGGGAACACCAAGTGGTGTAGCGGGGTTCGAACCTGAGACTTATTATGGTTAATAGCAGCAAATGACATTTATCCTTTTGGCTGGATATCTTAAAATGATAATAATTTGAGCATAATAGGTTGTAAGTTCTAATGTTAGTGATGAAGATTATTTATTTTTTTACTGAAACTTATAAATTACAAAGAAAAGTTAAAATGAAAAAGATTACGTGAAAAATAATGCACCTTAGTAAATTCAAAAAAATTGTTCAACAACCTAATTGAAATTACTCGGTTGTCGAACTTTGCAATTTCCAAATGCGAGGAAAAAAACATGTCCTTAGACACTATATCATTACTAGCTACCTACTCCTATATGCATCCATAAAAAAAGTTAATAAATTGGTCTTGAACTACGTTCTTATTTCCATAAAAAAAAAATTAGCACTTTGCTACGGTGCTTGCAAGTCATCGTAACTTACACTTTTCGGTCTACCAAAAATAAAAATGATCGACCTAATCTGTTATTTCAGTTTTGGGACGCTCAACGACGCGGTTGACTTTTTACAGAATACAGTCGACCTCTTTGGCAAGCGAACAATATAAAAAGTCGACCCCATTATCTAAAGGCCGGCCACTTTGCTATCAAAAGGTTGACCGTATAAATGAAAAGGTCGACCTTTTTTTCATTAACTGATCAACTTCAAAGTCGGAAATATTGAGGAAAATAGTAGAAACGGTCGACCTTTAGATAATGATTTCAACACCCAGAAAGATACCCCTAACTTGTCTACCACTTAATTCGCCCTAATCTCAGCCTAAATATGTACAAATACGAATATATGTCACCTTCACCGCCACCAAAACTCTCAATTTGGTTTTTTGTACGGTTAGAGTTTTGGTGAAGAAGTCTATTGTCGTTGTTCCTGTTCGCCGTCGAGACGGTGGACCAACTACAAGTTCAGGTCGACTGAATATAGGTACCGATGTTTTCTTTAC